CGTGAGGTATGAAAGTGAAATGTTTTAAAGATGTTGTTTGGGGTTGTAATAGACCTCAAACCTGAGGGGTTACTATGTAATTTACCCTAACAAAAAAAGTACAATAAGTAAATTAAAGCAATAGGTGGTAATTTCAACCATAGTGAATAAATTGCATTTAAGTAAATAAAGTTTGTGACAAGGGCTTTAATTCAGTATCATTCTCATAAATAAAAACTTAAAGCAGTAGACGGTAAAACCGTCCATGATAAATAAATTGCTTTAAAGTAAATAGAACTTGTGAAAATATTTTAAGCTAACATCATTCACATAAATAAAAAGTATCAGAACCTTTTATTTTGCCACTTCCTTTTGTCCCTTTTATTTGTTAATTAATTTTTTTTTCTATTGGCACCAAACTTCAAAACCTTTTCTCACTGCACAATTCCTTTGCTTTTTACTTTTTTTCAAGCTCATCAGTTCTCTTTCCTTATCACCTGAGGATGCACCATCTCCTTTTTTTTTATTTTATTATTATTGTCCTTATGGTGCCACGCATGTTCCATAAATTTTTAGTGCATGTCAGCATCATACTTTTGTCTGAACCTTTTTCAAAACATCCATCTTTTACTATTGACTGAAGTCCTCTGGTTCTGGCTCTGCCTCATGACTTGGCCGTTCTCGTAGCAGCTCCATGATATCGTCTTCATGGATCAGCAACTTCTGCAAAACATAGAGAAACAAAAACTAAAGCCAAGAAAGATCAAAGAAAAGTTTTATACCATCCTCCCTGCTCTTAGCAGAAAGAGAAGTTGCAACCCACCACCCCCAGCACTAGATCACATGAAGCTTTTTGCTGCCACCATGTCTGAAGAGGATCGCAACAGGAAGCAGCTCTAGTCCATCAGTGCCTCATTGGATTGCAGGAGCTCGATGTCAAGCTTGCCAATGTAGACGAAGCCGCAGTCCCTTCTTATCAGGGCTGGTCTAGAGATTTTTAAGGACCAGAATGATGCTAAAAAATGTGCCCCACTTTATGTAAGAAAATTATTTGTTTTGACACATAAGACATCGATAAAATTATACTTGGAAAATCACTTCAAACTTAATAATTTAGAAATACAGAAAAATTAATTTATTATCGTGAGAAGGAAACAAAAATAACTTTAGGTTTATAAGTAGATAGATATGAGTTTTGTTTTCCATCAGAACTTTTAAAGTGTTTTTGTATAAATCATGAGGTGTTTTTTCTTATTTATTAACCTTGTCAATACGCAATTAAAAAAATAAGGCCTAATCGATAAATGGTCCCCATGGTCATAAGGTATTCGGAAGATAGCCCATGTGGTAAAAAAATTTGGATTTAAACCCCTGTAGTCTAAGTTTGTTAGGATTTATGCTTGAAATTAGAACTTCTGTCATTCCTCCTTTAGTAGCTTGCAGGTGGATCTCACGGGTAAGACTAAGATGGTCATTTCATCCCTTCCATTTATCTCCTTTCAGAACGATGATGATGGCCACAACCGCACCGCCAAACTTGTTGTCTATGTCTTATCTTCCTCGCCACAAAAACAAATCAAAATCTTTCAGACCCTCAAATGGTTACATCTTCCTCAAACCCTCTTCAAAAACCCCTATGTTATCTCCAAATTCGGGTGTTTCTCGTGCCCGATTTCGCGTCTCCGACTTTCTCGCCACACCCACCATCACCAAAGTTGCAGACAAGAACACCAAGATTAACAAGTACTAAAAATGGGTAATCTGAAATCCGCAATGGAAATGGTGTCGGGGGCTCAAAAATTCGAGCTTGACCTTGATAGAAGCATATTTATGCGACTTAGTTAGCTTGTTTTCTTGCATTTTCATAGCGAGTTTGTGTTTATTATAGTGTGTTAAGCTATTTTCATGTGTTTGTAGGTCCTAATGGCAAAGTTGGCAAGAAAGTGCATTTTGAAGCATTTTAAAGCACTTTTGGGCTGAATTGGATTGCATGCATATAGAGCACAAGGAATGGACGTTTTTGAAGATCAAGTGAAGCTAGGAATGTGCTACAAATCTGGAGAAATTATTTCAAGACTTGGAAGATAAGGAATCAGCAAGAAAGAAGGAACATTATCCAAACCTTATCCAAACTGCCTTATCTTATCCAAACTGTAACTAACCTTATCTCATCCTATCCTAATCTTTTCCTAACTTAATTCCTGCTACAAGGGGGAGTTAATTTCTGATTTAAATCATCTAGAAACCTTTCTAGAAGGCCTTATCTGTTCCTACATTGGTGCTGCATGTTTTTAGGCCTTGTTCTTCTAGAAATCAGCCACATAACATTGTTTCTAGAATTCCCTACAAAAGTGGCGCCCCAAACCCTTCTAGAAACCCTAAAATCTGTACAAACCCTAGTTCTTTTCCCCCTTGGATTGAGGCCTAAGCCTTTGTCGAAAATCCTAAGCCTTTTCCCATCAGAATTTGTCAAAACCCTAGGCTATAAATATGTGTTTTCAGCCATAATTTTGCACCCCCACCACCCCCCATATAGTTCTACACCCCTTTCAGCCGTAAAAACACCACCCACCACACCATAATTCGTTCTACACCACCATCCATTCAGAAATCCATATTTTACCGCATAAGAAAGAGGACAAGACCTGGTCGTGGCTTCCATTGGAGAATGAGGAGTGTGCCGCAAGCCTACATGCATCCTTTGGAGTTTCTAGAGTTCTTTCTTCCCTTGTTTTGTTTCCATGTTTATTTCAGATTGCTTTTCAATTGTTATGAACATGAAGAACTAAATTCTTTTTAGTTAGAGGTGAATTCGAAGCCATGATTATATGTTTTTTATAAATTGATTACCTTCAATTTTTGTTTCGTAAAACATGAATGTGGTTTACTTATCTGATTGATTGAAAACTTATTTGTGTATGTTGATTGAGGGTGCACACTTAATTTGCATGCATGAATCTGATGCTAAAATATAAGGGAGTTTCACCTAATCGTTATGAACTTATATTTACAAGTAGTGAAGGTTGCTAGTCACAATCGTGTTAGGTAAATCCATGGCAGGAGTATCATGCTGTTCATAGTTACGAATGTCATGTCAATGTTTATGATTTTCATATAACTTAATGATCTTTGATTGTATATTTATCATGCTGTTCATATAGGGAACTTGAGAAGAATAATTTGATTGCCAATGCATATTCCATCCAATTCAATGAACTTAGGAACATCTGAAAGTTAATTTGTGCTTTTCACGATTAATTTGGGGCATTGTCGTTTATAGTTTAAAGAAACAATACTGGAAATCAATTTATGTTGCATATGTTTCATGTGTGGAGCTATGTGCTCGAATGATGTCGCTGCAAGACGGAAAAATGGTTCACTCAATTATCTGTGACAATGGTATGGAAGCTGATGGGCAACTGGGTGCCAAACTTGTGTTTATGTATGTAAGGGATGAAATGGAAATGATGAAATGATCATCTTAGTCTTACCCGTGAAACCCACCTGCAAACTACTAACTGAGGAATGACATAATTTCGAGCATAAATCCTAACAGACTTAGACCACAAGGGTTTAAATCCGATTTTTTTTTACCATAGGGGCTATCTTTCGAATACCTTATGATCACATGGACCATTTATCTGATTAGGCCAAAAAAATAATGATGTTTTGAATATTTAATTGATATGTATAAGTAATAAATGGGTATTAAATTAAACTTTTTGATGACACGTCATATAATTTGCAAATTTGGTCAACACATTACTTTTTGTTGAAGATTAGACTTGAATTGGAACAAATGTCTAAAAATAACAACCTACATAGCTACTAGCTACTAATTAAAAATAAATTAACAACCAAACAAAAATTCATAAAAATCGAAAAAAATAAACATGCATTTAGCATTTCGAACTTATGACCCCTAGTTAATTTTAAACAACAAAAACCATTAATTAAACTTCTTGATTATTTAGCCAAATTTTATATATTTATAATCTTATGAAAAGAAATTTGTAAAAATTGAAAGGTAAATAACCACACATGGTATTTTGAACCCAAGACATCCTCATTAATTTCAAATAACAAAACCACCAATTCTAGTTAAATTTCTTTATAATTGAACCAAGTTTTATAAATTTATACTCTTATGAAAACATATATAAATATATCACCCTAATAATTTTAGTGCTCCCAATTATTTTGGACCCCGAACGATCACCCTACCATCACTGGGCTTGGACGGGGCCCGCTCCTTATGAGGAGGTAGTCTGGGCTTGGACGGGGCCTGCTCCTTATGAGGAGGTAGTCGTGGCTGAGAGCGAAGATGAACCCAACCACGAAGGTGTGGCCGAAGACAGTGTTGACGGTGGGCATCGTGAGGGAGATGAGATCGGCAGTGGGCCTTCTGTCAACTCCAGCAGATCTGAGGGAAGGCCATTATTTCTTGTTTCTTTCCACTGGCACGAAAGCAACTCGTGTTGATAATGTATTGTAAAATCGACGGTGTTTGTGCTGATAACATTTCTTCCCACTTGTAGCTTAGTGGATTAGTGGCCAGCGCGAACATCCACCATTTTACAACAATTTGTAAACGTGGTCTGCTTTTGATATGGAGATTTAGAAATAGTTGGCATGCATATATTACAAAATAGTTACGTGTGCTTGTTGAATTTATTTGATTTTTTATTTACACTTTTTTCGTGTCTCGGATGTTTTATGTATGGCATTTTCAGATAAATACTGTATACAGTGGTGATTAAGAATCTGTGTATGGTCATCTCCCCAAAAGCATAACTTACGTAATTTTAACATCTCTAATTTTTTAAAATAAAAAATAAATAAAAAAGATAAAAAAGAAGATCTTCCATTTCTGTTTAATTTTTTAAAATGAAGATGATCATCGGGAGAAGATCTTCCATTTCTGTTTAAGTTTTCCTTCAAATACTTTTTCCCTATCCTCCTACACAACAACATTAGTAAACTCAATTATTTAATGATTACAGTAATGTAAAACAAGATAATTACATAAGAATAGAACCTCCAACAGTATGCAATTGAAATATATAAGTTTTTCCACTATAAGAACATCACCGTACCTTGCTACTTACAACGACAAAAGTGGATAAGTAAGACAAAAGTTGATACTTCTTTGTAGTAAATTGCTACTTACAACGACAAAAGTTGATAATTATCCTAAATATAAATAATGTCATTTTGGCCTACAAGAGAGATCGCAGACCAAGTCACATTTTCACCAAGGATGGGAAGTTCAACAGTTGGAGGGCAAACATATTTCACAGTGGTCAGAGAAAGTAAACTTTAAAAAGAACAAGAAATGTGCAAGGTTTTGAGAGGATAGATGTACATAAGTCTCACCTGGCTTGCAACAAGGAGAACTGCATTGGCATTTTCTTTCTAGGAAAACACTGATCAACTATCACCAGAGAACTGAAACGCCCTTTATTGCAAGAGCATTAAAGGCTAACAAGCTGATGTGCAGAATCTGCAAGTAGATGCCAATTCATTCAACCCATCAAGTTATTAAGACGCTATCCAGAGACTACTAAATTCAAATTCATCAAATGAATTTTGCTTCTCACCCATAATATAAGTCTGGCTCTTCTTAAGACGAAGAATGTCCATCAAATCTACTCAGTTTGAATACACCATGGGATTTAAGATATTGGATACGAAGGCAATCAAAAGATCACATAATAACTTTTGGATTATTATTTTTGCGAAGAGACAAACCTTTTGTTTATGTAACAAAAATTACATAAATGGGGGTAAGGCTAGCCGACATTCACCTCTCCCAGACCCTGCATCAAGCGGGAGCCTTGTGCACTGGGTACGACCTTTTTAACAAAAATTACACATCATTGGACAAGGAGTGCACCCTAAGAACATATAAAATACATCATTACTTTTATATCAATTCTACTATCTGTCTTTGAGTTCATGTTTGAGAAATCATCTGACTTGCCTATAAAAATTCATTACCAAGTTTAGCTACTTGCAGAGTATGTGAAGTGGGGTCACTTACAAACTGTATAAAAAAACTCAACTCCCCAACAAGTAAATATAAAGTCCTAGAACTGGAAGCATGCTAATTGTTAATCTAAAAGTGACTTAATTGAAATAAACTAAAGGAGCATAAATTCCCATTTCTACTATGGTATTAAAGCATTAATCTCGTGATAACAGAAAAACACAACGAAATAGGGCGAATTTCATACCTTCCCATTCCAACAACCACAAGGAAAACTGGAGGCTTAACCATTAACAGCAATGACAGGGACCTGCTAACTTGTATCCATAGCACCTGAACAACCAACACATGTTACAAGTATACAATCGTACTTTAAAAATGACAGGGACCTCCTCTTCCTCTTCTCCCACTGCTCTTTCTCTCCCTCCTCCCTCCATATCGCCGACTCCCAATTCGAAGGTTACGGCGACGAAATAAATGAGGACAATGACGACTACTCCTCACTCCCTCTTCCGACTCGCACCCGCCCTTTCCTCACCTCCGCATCCCAACCCGACTCACCTTCCATGATCCATCCCTACCAGACCCGGATCCCAACCCGATTCCCGATTCCCGATTCGGACTCACCATGCATCCATCTTCCCAAACCTTCCTTCACCAGCTTCGAGTATTGGGATGAAGACGAGTTCGAATGCCTCCTAATCCAACCCTAGAAACTGCCCCTCCATGACCCTGCATTTATCAAAACTGCGAATACCTCCTCCAATTCCGATTCCAAACTCTCTGCCGATCCCAACCCTCCACCGCTCCGAGATCCTTTTTTGTGGAGATCGTGTGTGGAGGGTTCCTACCAAGGTTTTCTGGCGACGATGGAACTCAGGAGCCTCCACGATTTGATCTGATGAAGGTAGTGAGACAAAGGGGGTTGGAGAGAGACGGGTGAGAATGAATCTGAGGAAGGAGAGTTTGAATAGGCTGAGTGAGTGTGGGTGAGGCTGCTTTTGAAACCGAGTGGGTTGTGCGATCGATAAAAACTAATACTTAAATATGACTTTGTGTCCAGACTTCAAGGGAAGACAGAACATTGTGTCTTTAACATTAGAGATTGGCAGGGTAATCGTGGTTACACGTTCATTTAAATTAAATGGTTACGGTTATGGGTAACTGTTTAGATAAATAAACGGTTATGAGTATTAACTGCGGTTATAAATGAGTAACCGTTTACCCATTTATTTTATATATGTAAAATTAACTCAAAATATGTTCTCTATTGGACAAAACTTAGATCAATGCTATTGATTATAATGTGATTTATATAGCAGTGTTTTAAATTAAGACCAAATGATTTAAATAATACTAAATCAAGGGGCACAAAATACTTTTCGTGTGTTTGTAACTTAAGAAAAAAAAATATGATTACTGATATTTATACTAGAATAAAGGCACAAATCCATAATTGTGCCAACATATCTTTTGCTATAAAGTGATTTATTATTATTAATATTTATTAGACACAATTTCTAGCTTAGTGTGATAAAAAAAAATTATAATTATTAACTCATTTGTCTATCTGAAGACCCATTACACTTTTGCACGAAGACCGATGACCTTAAGAACATAATTGTTGGTTATGTGTCACTGCATGAAGGACTTTCTAATACAGTAAAAAAAAGTTGCTGACAAACAATTTTTATAGACACAAAATGTTTTTTGTACCCATCTTGAGTAAAAAAGTTGTCATCTGACCCTACTCGGCACGGTTTCCGTGCCCATAACTGTTTTGTGTCTTCTTTTTTTTACATTGGGCACTATAGTTGGTGCCCTCTATGGAATGGGAATTGTTTCAGCCTTTGAGTGGTCAAACAAACACAAAATTCTTAATTGTGTCCTTAGCATGGAAGAAAATATCGATAATATCGGCGATATATCGCCGATATTATCCGGTTGTTCCCCAAACCGATATTTTAAGTGGTATCCAAGGGGGTTTCGTCAAAATTTCACGATAATATCGATAATAGCGATAATATCGTGAAATTTCGGAACTGTGCAAGTCGGAGACGAACGCCGGAGCTTCTATAGCTCCGGCCGACTGTAAAAGACCTCCTCCATCAGAACCTTGAAGGGGAACTGTGGATCGGCGGCGACTCGGGATCTCCACCCATTAAGAAACATACCCAGAACTCCAAATCCCGAAACCGACGACGACGAGAGACATTGAAATGGTGGTGGTGCGGAGCACCCGAGCCGATGAGAACACCGGATCTCAACGCACCCTCTCGAAATACCGCAGCAAAACGCGGTTTGAAAGCAGCTGCATGCCGGATCTGAAAGATGAAGGAGGATGATCGCTGCTGGGGGTGGGTAGGAGGACATGGCCAGATCGGGAAAGGACGCAGGGGGAAAAGAAAAAACACAGGAGAAAGCAAAAAGAAAAACAGAAGAAGAAGAGAAAGAAGAAAAGACAGAGGAACAGACCGAGAAGGGAAAAACAAGAGAAAAACAGGAGGAGGAAGGGGGAAAAGGCGACCGACTCCAGCCGAAGCCAGAGTCGACGCCGGAGAAAATGGGTACAAAGAAACCCTCACCAACACGGGAGGGAAGATACTCTCACAGAAGGAGAGAAAAAGGAACATATGATTTTGTTTGGCTGAGAAAGAGAGTGATGTGGGCAAGAGAGAGAGACACACACACACGGGTAGATGATAGAAATTTGTGTGGTGTGGGTGCGTTTAGGGAAGAGAGAAAGATGAGTGTGGATGTCGACATAAGTCTTTGAAAAGTAATAAAATACTAATATAATTGTGTTTTTTTTTTTTTGGAAACTAATATAATTTTGTCTTTAAAACACCAAGGGGATTCGAACCCTTCCCCTTTTACTCCTTCAACACCTTGACCACTATATCACTTATATTTTTGTGAAAATATGCTAAAATACACCTACTCTACACATAAAGATGTTTTGAACCTCATAAGAACTCTATGTGGTACTAAGTCACTCATGTATCTTACCATGCAATGTATAAAGTGTAAAATATTGTACTAATTCATTATATATAAATGATTATGGTGTGTTTAGACTTCTTTTTATTAATTACTACATATTTTCTACACTCACAATGTTTGTTAGCTCGCTATATATAATCAAACTTGATAATGTTAAATCCATCATGCAATGCATTTCCTTCCAATTTTTTTGTGATAAAACTAATAGATAATTGACTAAATAAACATCCTGCAAAGTTTCAATAAAAATTTCCAAGTTTTTCTTACAATTTCCGTGGTTTCCATGTAATTTTTATCGATATCGATATTATCCCGATATTTCCATAGATATTTCCGTGTTTTCGGACTACCGATATTTTCGATATTACCGATATTTTCTTCCTTGGTCCTTAGTTTTGTACCTAAAGCTCATTTTTCTTGTAGTGCACTCTCTTCTTCTCTCCTTCAATTTTAAAAACAAAAATAATACAAATTCACACTCTGTGTGCGTGGGCATATACTAATTTTTAATTATATGACAATATTTAATTAGATTTGTAGGACTCAGTTATGTGTCACATGAGTACATAACAGAATTTTGACAAAATTGTGATGAGAGAACCACATTGATTTGCGACACTCATTTTTAGGGACTACATTGATCGATTTTCAATTTCAATTTACTATCTTGATAGGGTAGGTTTGAGATAAAAACCTACTTAAAGTGAAGGATACTTCATGATTTTCACTTGCACCTAAGAAGTGAAAAGTGTGGAGTGAGTAGAAACTGTAAGAAGTATGTTAGAGTGTTGGATAGGGTAGGTTTGAGATAAAAACCTACTTAAAGTGAAGGATACTTCATGATTTTTCACTTGCACCTAAGAAGTGAAAAGTGTGGAGTGAGTAGAAACTGTAAGAAGTATGTTAGAGTGTTGGGAGTCAGGATATTATGGGCAAGTATGTAGGGGCGTATTAACATGAATTTTAATTGAAAAATAATTGTATGATGTATTAAGTATGTGAGGGGTAATCAATAATATGTGGGATGTTAATATAATAAGCTTTATAAAATCAGTAATACTTTACTCACCAAATTTATTCATCAAATTTGTTCATTATATAATATAAAATTTTACTTGTTAGAAATAATTGAGATCTAAAGTGGGTCTACATTTGAAACAACGCAAACTGTTCTGGCATTTGGTATAATGTACACCAACTGTTATGCCACTTGGTAAATGTAGGCAAACATTATAGTTTGTCTACTGTTGATATTCATTTGCTAAGGGCTGGTTTGGTATTGTTGTGCTTTGAAAAAAAAGCTGTTGTGAGAATAAGCGGCTGTGCTGTGAGAATAAGCGGTTGTGAAAAAAAATCAGCAGAGAGTTTGGTAAACTTTTTTGTAAAAGTGCTTTTAAAAAAAAAACAGTCTGATAGTGGGTCTTTGCACTGTAGCTCCGTGTGCTTTGAAAAAAAGCCAGTTTTCCAAAGCTACAAATAGCAGCTTCAGCTTTTTCCTTTGATTTCAGCTTATTCTCACAGCAGCTTCCAAAATAAGCCTTTTTTTTTCAGTTTACCAAACACTTAAAGCCCTCACAGTTTTTTTTCATAGGTGTTTTTTTTTAAGCACCTCACTCCCAAACCACCCCTAAATAAAATTGGTTATTCTGGTGGCACTCTTACAAGTAGCTCATCTACATGGACATCAACAACACAAAATATAATGTCGTCTTCCAATCATCAGCCACAATGAACCAACAAAAACCAAAAAGCTAGTAGGTACTACGTACTGGTTTAGTATTGAAGTGCTTTTATAAAAAGTGTGTATTAAAAAAAGCTAAGCTCAAAAAGGTATTTTGGTAAACACTTAAAATAGCTTATTTTCATAGTTTTGGGTGAAAAAAAGTTGAAAACGTGAAGTGTTGTAAACTGAAATAGAAAGAAAAGAAGTTACCCGAAAAATATAAAAGCCTTGAGTGGTGAATGATTCTTGGGATGAGTCGCGGACTAAGTCGCTCTCTTTAAGACGTTTCGCAACTCTGCCCAAAATGTGCAAGCAGTTCACAAACACCATGTCGTCCCTAGGATAAAACAGCCCATAACCTTCTTCTTCTGATAAAGTTCTTCCTTGCATAGTGGAAGAACCTTCGAACTCACACCCTCTCAATATATTGCTTTTAAAATCAATATATGTAAAACTTTTTTTTTCTTGTTTTTTTACTACTAATCCGCATGACTTACAAATATATATATATATATATATATATATATATATATATATATATATTTGTTGGTGTGTATCCTGGTATCCGTTGAGATGGCGATTTTTATAAAATTATGATTGCATGTGTGTACGTATGTATATATTATCATAATAAAAAAAATATGTTGAGATTACAAACTATAGGAATCAATGCAATTGGAAGCCAAAACGCCAGGAATAATGGCAATCAAAACGGACAAAAAATCACAACGGGACAAAACATAGTCAATTCAAACTGAAAAAGAAAACAAAACAGTTTGAAAATTAACATTGGTAATAAAGGAAAATATTAAAATGTCGTACCCAGTGCACAAGGCTCCCGCTTTACGCAGGGTCTGGGAGAGGTAAATGTCGGCTAGCCTTACCCCCATTTATGGAGAGGCTGCTCCCAAGTCTCGAACCCGAGACCTACCGCTCATGGGCGAAGGCACTTGCCATCGCACCAAGTGCGACCTCTAATAAAGGAAAATATTATGTATATAATATTGGTAATAAAACAAAATATAAATATATTTAAATATTTAAATAAAAACATAACTGCTCCAGCAATCCCCCACTTGTTTTTATTTAAAAACTATATATCAAGCAACATATCATAAAGCTATGCATAAATAAAGGTGTTTCTCAACTTGAACTTGTACATAGTGTTAGTGATCCAGATTATACTAGAGTAACTTATAGTTTTGAACTCTATCTCTGACAATACCACCCACATAACTTTATTAAGGTGAAGTTCAAAAAGCCAGCACATTAAGGCTATGTGCTTGTATCCCAGTATAGTGAACGCTCTAGAAACTTACCCAAGATTT